TTTTTTAGGAACACGGATGCTCTATCCCCTCTAAAAATTGAATTTTTGTGTTTCTCATTTGATGTACTTTCTCTTAAAAATGGGTCATTTTGGGGGGTAAGTTGCCCTTTAAAACACTTTACCGACAAAATAGGTTAGGTATACGTGCGAACAGTGCAAAAGTGTTGATCACTGAAAAAAATTAGAATGTCATTCATAGATAAAAATCCTACCTTTCCAAAACGTTGAACAAAGTATGATAAGGAACGCGACACCAACAGCTTTTGCGCACCACATGTTGACAGAAAAAAATCTTGCATCAAACTATTTATTTTTACGATCGAAGTGAAGTATGGTCAAGTATTTTTCATCAGCATTTCGCATCGTTGGAACTTGACCTCTTGACGTGATGTCCCGTTGCATTAATTTTTGGGTTCATTGAAGCAATAAGATATTATTATAACTACTTAATCAGGTTTGAAACTTAATCATTTCTTAAACTGAATAAGATTAAAACGAGTCAACAAAAAAAAAAAAAACTTTTTTATACTTCAGCTCGTCAAAAGCTCAGTAAAATTATATCATAAATTTCTAGCTCTTATTTTTCAAACAACTAACTTGGTATAAATAATATTCTTTTGGCATATTTTTAATAGCAAATGACTGACATGTAATTATAGCAATTTAATCAGAGGTTATTAAAAAAGCATAGTTCAAACGAATATATGAACCGAATTTTCTCGAAAACCATTGGTCTTTATTTACTGTTTACTATTTATTTTCAAACGATAATAATTTGCTTTCTTTGAATCTCAAAAGCTAGGGGAAGAAAGTTCATTTAAAATTGATCAACACTCTGTCGGGTCTAACTGCCAAAGGTGCCAAGAAAGAACTTTCTCGAATGTTTTTTTTTCGGTCATTGCCATATCTTGGGTATATCAAAAGTTTAATAGAGTGCTAATAACTTTATTGTTTTATTCTTAAGTATTTATATTTTTCCTTTAAGCCATTAACAAGAAGTAAACAAAGTTTAAAAAAGAACTTTCTCGGATTTCTGAGCAGTTAATTTATTATAATTTTCTGCATACCATATAACTGTGAAAAATTTAACTAACAAAATTAATAAGTGGGACGTTTTGTAGGTCTTCGTACCGTCCAGAGTGCATACTGTATATCCTCGGAAAAACTATTTGAACAAACTAGTAAGTTCAGTAGACCACAGTAGACCGTAGTGCCGCTCAGTAGACTGTAGACCTTCGTAGACCGTAGACCTACAGAACTTTGAACTAATTTTTAATTACATTCTCGTAAGTTAACTTTTTCATGGATATATGGTAGGTCTGTAAGTGATTTCTTACAAAGATTTTAAGGGATATATAGTATGCCTTCTGTGTTAAGTGATTTTCAAACAAGTTTAAGATATTACTGATGAAAAGTTAGAATATGAAGTAGCT